AAAATCCTACCGTTATCTGCTAATACGTCTCTGCTTCCTTTTCGTTGTCTGTGTGTTTTTCCTTTGGATTCGGAAAACTTTGCTCGTGAAATATTTTGCTTCTGCATTTGGAAAGGGGTGGCCGGATGTTTTTTATTTTTTTTTAAGTTACTTATGATATTATTACTTTGTTGCTGGAAGATGTATTTACCTTTGGTTGTTGGAATGTTGATCAGGTTTTTTTTTATCAATTCGTGGTGCGATGGGTTTGGAATAATTTGATGAGGCGATAATATGCGAACTGAGTATTTGGAGCAAACTCGAGCGTGGCTCACGTCTTGTGTGTGGGAACAATAAGTCCGCACGTGACTGCACAAAGGAATTTTCGAGGCCGCTTCACCCCTGAATGCCCTACACGTTGACCCACTGCAAGTTTCCAAGGGGTGCATCATGACGACCTTAGAAGATTCACAGCCGGATTTACATACCTAATCAATGCACGGATATCTTACATCCCCTTTTGCAAAAGGAAATCCTCACAGAGGAGTCACGTTTTATAAAAATACCTCTACTTCTAAGTTTGTTTATTATTTCTTTACGTTTAAATTCAATCCAACAAAAGCTACGAAATCTAAAAATATGATACCTTTCTTTGAATTTTATCTTTTTGATCTCATTTTATTTACAATTTCCTTGAATATACAATAAATTGGGATTTATTTTAAAGTAAATTCTTATGCCCATGTCGATTGAAGCACAAATTTAATTTTTATGCAATTTAAAAATACTTAATTCATTTAATTTTTTATATACAATATTATATATTATATACAAATATATATGAAAAGACTACATTACATACAGATTTATTCGTATCTTTTTATATATATATTAAGCTACAATACTTTTGGAATCTCTAGGTGTTAGTTTTGTTAGTTGGTTTTAAACTAATTACCTTTATCATTTTTAATAATCATATATTATTAATATATTCGGTTTAAAATGGGAAATTCAATAAAACAATGTAAAATCTATTGAATGATTGATATGAAGTAATTTGATTTTTAATTAAGTTCTAGAAGGATATGGTGTTGTACATACTTTCATATAATATATGGACATCTTGGTTAAACTTTGGCGTACTTAGAAAAATAATTAAAACTTCGGCGAAATCGTTTAATGTCACATATATCAAAGTAAAAGTTCATGTAATAATAATTTGTGAAAAGCCACGTTATCCTGGGCTTTCCTGCACCTCTAGAACTAACTGTTAACATAATGTACTCATTTTACAAAATTTACTGGACACTTTAAATTTTAACAAATTAATTAATTAATTTGTACGAAAATTAAATCAAACTTTAATTAATTAAATTGTATCAATTAACTAATATTGAAAACGCTTGAAATAAGATTAATTAATTGAAATAATCCGTATTTGGCAATTTAGGATAGAGTTTTAAGTTTTCTAAGATATGATATTCATAGTCGTAGAAAGTTTCAGGGTTGGAGACTGTAGTTCTCAACTACCGCATGACACTTGTTCCTCGCTTCCGGCGTCCCGACGCCCACAATGCACCCATTGTAACACATCCTGCATTCTTCCTGGCCAGATCCGTAAACAATAGTGGCGGAAAATTATTGTTGCGCAACTGTGTCAAGAACAACTTCCCGAAAGAAAATGTTACGCGTGTGCACAGTTGCTTAGGAAGCCAAATAAAATAACGCTCGGAAATGGGATGTGTTGGGAGGGTTTTGGTGTGTAAGGTTGATGTTGAAGGGGTTGGGCGGCATTATGTGTTAATCATGCAAATTCGCCGGCGGCTTTAGCAATGATAACGTATTCAGATGGCATCGCTTCTGCATTCGGATTATGCATTAAATATGTAAAGGGTCCCTTGTTTTCTGGAGGGAAAACGGGATTAAAATACTTTGGTCAATGTCTCCGATGGGGATAACTACGTGCCCATGTGCGAGACTCTGTGGTGCGTGATTGGATTAGTTCGCACTTAGACAAGGCATATGTCTCAACAAGTAGTTTATTATCATCGCATCTTGTACTTTCCCTAATTACAGTTTAATATTATTTGCTATAAATTTCAATAGTTTTGAACCTCTTTTATAACCACATTTAAATATCAATATTGTAGTCATTGAGATATTAAAATATAAATAATCTAAATTTACTGATTCTTATATCAATATACCAATTTGTCAATGTTTTCAAAGTAATTACAAAAAAACAATTAATATTTTTTTTTACAATAATACTATTATTATATTAATTTTTAAATTATTGCAATACTCTCAATGGTCTAAGAAATAATGTTTTGGGAATTTTAATACTTAACGCTTATAAACTTAGAATTTATAGTGTTCAAAATGTAAAGAATCCTTATTCTTCAACTGATCTGTAGTATGTGAGAATATTAGAAGGAATGGTCTTCAAAATGTATATAGATAAAACCACGTAAAAAGTAACAAGAAGTCTTGCAGGTACGGCAACAAGTGGTGGTTTCGATAAAAATGGTTCACCGCTTATACACAATGGTAATAAAATTATGCTTCTATAAAGTTCTCCTGTTTTGTTGTACAGCATAAAGAAGGAACAGAAGGATGATTAATATAGTCTCAGTCTGAATTGAAAATATAATACCGCATATGCGTACATTGTCACAAAATAATTCACTTGAAATTATTAAAAATTAACTTTAGATTAAAGTAGATATAATGTTTCTATAAATTAATGAAAATAGATATAGTTATAGGAGACATATGTAAAGTCTTGCAAATAATGAATATGTAATTAATTGTTTTCTCATTTTTTTTTAAATTTTATTCATTTTGTGTTATTACCTACCCCACAAAATACAATATACTACGAAATAATAATTTCAGGATTTACGAAGTTGTAGGAAATATTGGAAAACTCTACTTTAATTAGTCAGAGTAGAAGTGATATACTTTCACGTTGTATTGCTCGGAAATTGTAAGATGTAACACTTCAATTAAAATGGAAATTATGGATATTCTTAGCTATTAGAAAAAATGTATTAATTGCAACAAATTGGTATAAACTAATGGATTATAAAATGTTTTAAACAAACTTATTAATTTGTTATATTTAATCTCTTTATATTTGAACTTGAAAAAATAGGTAGTTACAGTGATTATCGGCCAATTAATGGATTTAATTAATTAAATTAAACGAATCATAATTAAACTTTGAATAGTAGAATGGGATTCGATGAATTTAGTCTAATTCGAGGGATGTTTCCAAATAATTGTATAGTCATTACGGTTTTAGAAAGTAAGGGAAAATGAGTTTCTTAACCCAGCCGCGGCGGCACTCATTAACAAGGGTTCCCAGAATGAATGCCCTCCAGCTGAAACCCATTACGCCCCATCCTACTGTCTTCCAGTAGGCCATGAATCTGTCTTCTACTCAAATCAATAAAAATGAGCAGAAAGCAGCAGGTGCATTTATGAATAATCCTGGACGCATTGTCGAACAGGTTCAGATTAACCGCGAGTCCTGGCGGCTATTCAGGATAATTGGTTTTGCGGTCGCACGCGCTGCCCCCCACAATTTACGCACACACCTTGACCCCGCAATTACATGATTAAATGCCACCCACATCGCACCGTTAAGGGATGTACGCAGAACACGAGGGATTTGCGAATCCATAACCCTCCGATATCCTCGACCGTGACATTGATTGAACCGTGATAAAAATTTAAATTTAAAATCTGCAGGATTTTTGGTTTGATGACCCTCACAATTTTATTGCTATTGCTTTCGTTGCTCAACATTTGTATGAAATAATTAATACAAAAAAATGTAATAATATTTCAGCGGACAAACCATAAAACCGAAACCATATACATTTTGGGTATACATTTTTACGATATTTCGTGATAAATTTCCCATTTCCCAAAGTCCCTGATTCGATATCATGTAATATCACTTCTTTACGACTCCATAAACTTTATTTATCCACATAATCCATAAACAATTAAAATATACGACGTATTAAGAATTGCAGTTTGTATTATTAACTTGGAGCTCGATAAATTTTGGCGTCTATCAAAATTTAGATACAATTTATTTATTAAAAAAACACATATTTTTATTAAGAAATATACCAGTTTTTTTACATACAAATAGTAATAACATAAGTAACTATTAAAACAGTAAAAATATATACATTTACAAATATTAGGAACAGTGTGTATGCAACATTAAATATATTTCTTATTGTTTTTATTTGCATTTAGATAAAATAAATATGGTCATAGTTTCAAACGAAATGTTTATGGACTTAGTTAAAATAGTGTTAATTATTTTGGATTGCAGTACAACAAGTTTGTCACTAAGGGTTATAAATTATAGTGGAGCGGATGGAGCAGGGTTAACCGTAGGGGAAACCCTAAAATATCAGGTTGCAGTGCTCAGGTTAAATGAAAAGCTATCCAATTTACGGCCACATGTATATGTATTTATGTATATATAGATATATAAAGCGGCATAAATTGTGCAAATGATTTGGTACCTCGGTGGGGAAAAGCCGGAAGCATTAAACCCCACCAGAGCAGACGCAGCGCAAAAAATCCTTCATATCGCTCTTTCGGAAGAGGAAGGCTTCGTACATTTGCAATCACGTGACGTGACGTAATTCAACAGTTTAGGGCATCTCGACGCGACGGCAATTTAATCTAATTATAAAATACTAAGATTTTCTGGCGAAGCGAATAAATCTTCATTTGTTGCAAAGCTCCAAAAAAAAAATAATTTGCATAACTTGGACGTGGGATGGCGAAAAGAAACATAAATAGCGGTAGCTCAATTAGTGGAATTAAGTTACGAGAAACAACATACTTTAGCGCTATAAATAATGGAATCCCTTGATGAACGGTTTGCAAAAATGCTATTGCAGTGCGAGCTTTGTGCTACTACCCAATGCTCTATAAATACCAATTTGCCGTCGTTTATAAAGTGTTCTCTTCTCCTCTTGTTCCAGAACTCTTACATCGAGCCATCCTGTTAAGCGGCTCCGGCCTTAGTCCTTGGGCCCTGCAACGTGATCCACTCTTCGTCAAGAGGAGAGTTGCCGAACAAACTGGATGTCATGGGGACCTCGTCGAAGACGATCTGGCGCCGTGCTTGAGACTGAAACCACTTAATCAGTTACTATCGGTAAAACAACTTTTCTTCTTTCTATTTCAATTAGTTACCATGCTTACTTATTATTAAATTTTGTAATATTATTAAACTACTTCATAATAACTAATTAGCACTGTGATTAATTTATTTATAGCCAAATTTTATTGAAAAATCCGAAATCTACTACCACAAAAAAATAGTTTTAAAGAAATATTTATTGCATTCATTAATAAAATAAACACAAAACCCATAGATCTTGAATTATCTATTAAATTAAATAACCTATTTAAAACTTTCATACATTTACAAAGTTACGTATTAAATTTACATCATATGTCAATATTTGCTTAATATCCCTTTACTGAATAAATATAGATTTAATCATTATACTTGTTGTCGAACATGAATATATTTTGAATCCAAAGACTCTTCGAAAACCATATCCTAAGTGATTCATTATTTAACCCACTAATAATATTATGAATTATATACATAAAACATCTACTGAAATAGCGAAAATACATAAAATAAATATAATAATGGCAAAAGTTCTTTCCAATGTTTTTTTAATGATCACAATTATTAATTTGTAATTTATAAAAAATAGATGAAAATTTAACATTTATTTGTTATATAATGTGTGTCAAAAATTATTTTGATATATTTATTACGGATTGTACATAAGCACATGGCAAATGACATATATCAAAGTTAATAGTTTTAAGAATATGTTCTATGATAATATTATACAGCAGTTTCCAAAATTAGGTTAATACCAATTATATAGGCAGAAAGACCTATGGTCAATAGCCCTTTGTAGCAGATGAATTTTTTATTATATTTTTGTTATATATTTTATTTTTTGATTATGTATTATGATTTGTTAAAATAAATGTTATGATTACCAATTATGTAAGTTTAAAATAATCGATATATTATTAATCATTGCTCTTTTAACTAGTGATGTTTTACCATAATAAAAGAGGTTTACTTTGAAAATGTATATCAGAATAAGTTGGACGTATATAAATATAAAACGCGGCCAATAAAAACGATGTAAATAGATCGTTTGCAATAAAACGTATATAGATATACACGAAGCATAATAAAGCCACGTTCGCACAAATCCGAGCGCAAATGAAATAAAGGATATACGCGAAAAACAATTTTCTAATATTTATGAATTACACTAACAACAGCTCGATATTTTCTATTTATTACGATCATTCAAAATTGCCGTGTCGTGCATACCGATGACGTGTAATTAGGTGCGATCATTATTGTTGTAACTATTACCCAATGTCTGATGCATATTAGTCCTGATCACCAGATTATTACACGGCTCCCGTTTGCTAATTGATGTAATCATCTGAATAATTCCATGGGAACTGTGTTTTGAGGTTAGATTTGATTGCAGGAAATATCGGTTTGCACGATTAGACGTTATTTTCTATTCGCATTTACTGCTATGTACATTACTAACCGGTTGGAACTCCTTCCGAAGTTTCAGGCGAACTTACTGTTTAATTTACCTCGAGCAGACTATAAGACTAACATTGTTGCAGTTGATTTAACTTGAACCTAATGGGAAAAAAGGAAGAAATGCACACGTAACTGGATTATTTCATTAAGCTAAGGACGATTCAAGCAACTGTAGAATTTAAGTTAGTTTTAATTTAATATTTTACTTTTGAAATTGCTTAATCTTAAAATAGTCACCTTTATTTATGTATTTATTATAATTATTAATCAATTTCATAAATGTCAATTATAAAACACTACTCAAGTTGTAAAGAAAAAGATTATCGTGTTATACGGAAACTGCATTAGGAGAGTAAAAAAAACAGTGTGTGTATTCAATTAGTGAATTAATTTCTAGAACAAATTAATAATAATATAAAAATAATTAAGAAATGTAATTCTTTTATTTTCAGGTTCAAGTGGATGCTCCGAGATTTCTGCCTGGATTTGCTCCATTTGTGGATGGTACGATACTAGTGAATCCTGGTATGATGTCACAATCAAATAGTGGAGGTTCATCCTCATCCTCGTCAACGGTGGCAACAGCAGCAGGTTTCGAGCTTGCAGATTTCGCTGAATGTGATCTTCTTTTTGGGCTGACGAGTACAGAGTCCTATTTGGATTTGAGCGCACAGGATCTGGAATTCGGGTTCAACGAGACTCGGCGCGATCGCATCCTGCGGACATACGTTCGCAATTCTTACTATTACCATCTGAACGAAATCTTCTCGACGTTGAAGAACGAATACACGGATTGGGAAAAGCCGACACAAAATCCTCTCAGCGTTCGGGACGCTACTTTGGAAGTGTTAAGTGATGGTCACACAGCTGCACCGCTTATAAGGATCGGCTATTTGCATGCGCTCAGGGGAGGAAAAACGTTTTTCCTGCACTTTCATCACCAAAGCGGAGAAAGGGATTTTCCACTGGTAAACCATTTGTTCCTTTTATGTAACCAACTTTGCTCTATATCACTCAAATCATTCATTCCATGGAAATAATCCATTTTACTTTATGCATCTAAAATACATATAACTCGCTACAATTCATTCGCAATTTCAATGTAAAATTTCCGCTGCAACTTGAAATCATATTTAATTTAAAGCACCAATTAAAATATGCAAATCCAACTGCATATTTTAAGCAAATTAATTACTCAAATTCTCTAAAACAAATTGAAAAAAAATATGTATCTACTCCTTTACGATTTTCATATTATTTAGAATAGATAAGAAAATAAATAAAACGAATTTTGCACGAAACTTTGTCCCTCCGAGATAATACGAGTTTCCATCGGATATAAACTTTGTATATTGACTTAGGGGAAAACAGATGAAATTATTTTTTTTCTTATTCCTTTTTCTCTCCCATCAGGAAACTGTAAACTACTTTCAAATTCGATTACGTAAATAGTGAGGTGGCTGCGTTTGATGTCCGTAATGATGTTTTAATGGCAGAACATTGTGTTTACAACTTGTGGTAAATTGTTGTTTCAATATTTCAGTGGCTTTCATTCCTACACGATGCGTCGAGTTGGATAAGAATAACGACAAGAAAAGAAGCTTTCACGCATTGAACGAAGCAAACAAAAAATGAAACAAAAAGTACGGGGAAATAAACAGGGTGAAAGGAGCCGTATTTAAGACTGCATTAAAGTTTAAAAAATAATTTGCACGTGGTGCAGATTGTTTAGAAACCTTTCAGCGCTTTTTAATTTGAATCTTTTCTCCCGTTCAGCAAAAAAAAAAGTAGAAAATGCGAAGGGAAACCGCTAAATCGAAAAGAAAAGCGCTTTCAGGGTAAATTACAGTACTTTATTATTCGAGGGGATATTACAAAAAAATTACTATTTTATGCATTGTTTATTGCATGTTCTATTATTAATATACGTAAGTTATATAAGATATTAATTATAGTGGTAGGTTATCAAAACTAAATAATATAACAAAACTAAGCTTAAATGCAATATAAATTAGTTTCAATTTGTGGGTTATCAGTAAATCACCTGAAACATAGTTTCTGGGTATCCCCAATAGTGTAGTTTGGGGTCAACCATATTGCATGCAAACCTAAACTAAGTTTGCTTCGGATTTAAACTTGATTTTTGTTAAACTCTAATGAATTGTGACTAAAGAGTAGCTCAAATTAATTATATTAACATTTAATTCTCTCCTAAATCTTTTTTTAATTATAATAGTAACCTTAAGATATACTAAATTTAGTTAATATAATTAGTTTGTTTCGCTTTATAAAATAACAGCATTCGATTCGTGTGGGAATGTGGTTCACTCGTTGCATTTATTGGAGAAAGACAATATTTGCTTCGCGCACACAACTTTTCAAATATCGCTAACTCTACAGACTAGCCGGAGGATAGGTTTAGACAAGGGTAAATCTGTATTTAATCACTCAGGAGTTCTATAAATATCGAATATTACGGCAGAGAGTTGTTCTCTATGTACTTGGTACACTCTAGTGTATACCCACGGTAAATATGTCTATTCAATTGGGATGTGCATTGTAATATGTTTTATTTACTGTTTATAATAATTACGTTGTTACATTGTGTATCTAGATATAATTGAATTTGTGATTGTATTTAACTTGATTAATTTATAATATAAATACTGAACACAACAGAATATTTCACAATTGATGAGAAAAAAATAATTTCTAGATTAATAAAGACAATATAGATATGAATTCAACAAATAGTTAAAATTAATTATGATTAAAATTAAACAAAATAATAAGTTCAAATGTAGTTCTTTTTTTTATTACTTTGAATTAATAGAATGATAAAGGACGATGACAGTAGTACCTCGCATAGTACGGGTAATTTGCTTATCCGATTGTTTGAAAACGGACTAATCGAGGACTTTACATTTACGTAAAAAATTTTTTTTTTTAAAGTAGCACTTAACTTTATTACTTTGAATTATAAGGTGAAAGATGAAGACAGTAACATTATTTTATTAGACCTTGTTTTTTCTATTTCTTTTGAACTTTAAATGATGATCGATCAAGCAGCAAGCGAATCGCTAAACTTAATTTAAAATAACACTTTCTTCGCCCAAAATTTAATAGGCTCTATGGTTTTAATCGGCGTAAATTCCGTCGAAATTACTTATACCAGCAAATCGTTACGATTTCGTGAGGGTGCGCTAATAACACCAATTTAGGCACGAAAGTGTTTCAGCTTTTTTTTCTTTATTTTCTTTTCTGTGGAAGGGCAACGAAAATAAATCTTATTTTCGTTATTTGCAGAGAAGCGGTAGCGTGAGAGGCGAGGACGTTCCATATATACTAGGACTGCCCTTGGTGGGCGGAGGAGTCTTCTTCCCACATAACTACACCCACGGTGACATTTCAATTTCGCGCACTCTGCTTCATTACATCAGCAACTTCGTGCGGAATGGGTGAGTACACATCGATACGTGCAGATATAAATTGCACGATAAAAAAATAACAAAAAAAAAACTGAAAGCATTTAAAATAATGTGAACATGTAGAATTAAACTTATTTTGATTACGTGAGAGTTAAAGAATAACAATGGAATAAGTTTAATTAAGACTGAATTTGTTAACAGTTAAGTGATAAATTTAATGAAAAACAAACAAAATCAATTTAAAGGAGAATCTTCAAAATGTCTTTGATTATATTAAATTAATACAATTAATTCAAAGATTATATTTGAACCTAGTTAAAATTAACGTATTTCTCTACATTAAGAAAATACTAATTAATAAAAATATAATCTAAAGGAGTTTGAAAGAATGCTTGTCAAACTGCAGTCACATTGTAGTCTAACAAAAAATAAAAACTTTATATTAAATTAGTAAATATTAATCGTTAAGAACTTTTTTGTTTGAGTCGGTTTAAACTTATTAAAGTATGAAATATTTCTTCTTTGCTGTACCAAGTTAATACTTTTGAAATAATAAATTGTAAACTGAATACCCATAAAATGAAATAAAAGATCATGCAAGACATTTTACGAGTCTAATAATAATGGTGTAAAAGTTAGTTCTTTGAATCGAGTATATTTTAGTAACGATTAACATATTTCCCATTTCCTGAACAATGCGGAAACTGAAAGAAACAAACATAACGTGGCGCCTCTTAAGAGTAAATTAGTAAAAGATTAATAGCGTAGAACGTAGTTCCTTAGGTCGAGTTGAACTTAGTTAAGATTAAAGTATTTCCCCCTTTTCCTTCTCCAATTTGTTGTCTGGTAAATTCTGGAGGCCACGAGCAGACGTATTTAAAATAATCAAATACTAAATTCTACGAGTGCCGTAAACCTTTCGGCACTGTAATTCTGTGTTACATAAAAATTACAGTTCCGGAACTGAGGATGGTTTCTTCGTCGCGATTAAGAAAAAAAGAGGAAAAGAAACAAGGAATCTAATTTAAATTCCTCGTTTTGCTGGAGAGGGCACTCGGTCGCATCCGTTTCTTGGAATCGGGACGACTCATGATGGCCGCGCGAAATTAAAAACTTCCTTAATGAACGCGAAAGAATGTCGTAACGACCTCCTACGAATTAGTGCCAAACAAGGAGGAAGAGCTGCGAGAGGAACGAGGCTAGAAGTATTTAAGAAAAAAAAATAAGAGGGTGAGGTACATACTGAAACAATTAAATTATGTGACATCATCTACTTAAATTACATCGTCGAAACGCTCTTAACGACACAGTGCTTTTTTAATTTGTTGCATTAAGTTATATAATTATGGTGTCAGGGTTATGGTGTGAGTTACGAAGAAGTTTTAAAGGGGTGGACTTTTGAGAGTGAATAAAGTCGCATTTGGCTCGGACACGATGGGTGGAAAAATATGAAAAAAAAGAGGATGGAGTGGAGTAACTTTGATTTATCGAGTCGACTAAACTAGTCGCATTGGACAGTATAGTATAGAATGAGAGAGAGAAAGATGCAGGAGAAACTTAGTTTTATCTACAAATGCTGTACGTTCGGTTTAAATGAAATCCCGCAAACTACATCCAACACCTTCATATTTTACCTCGCAAAAACTGCTAATACTGATCAATGGCACTAAAAACAACATCGCAATCTATGGAATTGCTATAATCTATCTGGATGAATGAACGACGGCTCTCTAAGTTCATTATACTTTTACGGATTAAATATTCTTTATAGTTGGTTTATTGGAATACATTTTGAATACATTTATATTCAAGTTATTTTTATAATAATACATTTATTATGCAACAAATATTATCTAATAGGACGAGCCAAATACAAATATAATAAATTCACACTTAAATATTGCAATAACTAAAAAAATATTATAGCAATTGAAAATAATAAATAGATTTTTATTATATTATTTAAAAATCTTCATTTGTATCAAAGTTGATCCATTTTCTTAAAAACATGCAACAACTAACAAAAATGTACCCATACAATAAAATCTTGTACTATGTTTTTAAATTTTTAACAAAAAAATGTAACTTATACTTTTTGTATGTAATAATATTTTAAGCTCAAATTTTACTAAAGAAATAGTAGTAAACTCTAGTAATTAATCAAACAGGAACATTAATTTGTATTTTATTCTTAAAAAAATTGAAAATATTACAAAGTCAAGTACAAAAGACAAGAAAGATAGTTTTAGCTGCTTTATAATAGTACTAGAATACACATTAAATAACATTAGATACTGGTTTTTAACTCAGTTATATTTAGAATATGTTGTATAAAATGACGTTTATAAGTCACATGAAATAAAAAGTAGGAAGTTTAAATAAACTAGAACAAAAATAAATTCGATAAAAATATTTGAAACTAAACTCTGAAATCATATAAATAAGAAAACTCATGAAGTGAAAACAGGAAAAAATATTCATTTAAAAATAATATATGTAAAGTGTGCAAACATCATATTTGAAATATAAGGAATATAATATATTCCCCCAATTCCAGCCGGAAGGAGTTCCGGTGATATTTTAAAGGAAACGTACTGAAGTTAACCTTTTTAAATATATTGTATACTTTCGTGCATAATACTTTCAGTATGATATAATTTTACTTAAACAATATATCAAACAATAAGTAATAATTGTGAATAAGGAAGCAATTAGTTTCATGATGGGTAAAGTCTGAGGGAGAAAATCCGAAACAAAGATTATATCCATTTATCAGGGCCGATCGATTTCGTCTGGTTGGGTAATTTGTAAGGGTAGAAAGTTCGATGTAAGATAAGAGCATTAAATCAAGCGTGGACGTATCAGATTGTTATTGACAAATATTATATTTCCACGAGAAGCGGAGCAAAATAATACAAGTAACATTATTTCCGGAGTTTTCATCCGAGAAGTTTTCGTATTTATTCCATAGTTTTAATCCAATGTTGCAATAGCTTCTCTAAAGGAATTCCTTTCAACAAGTTTGAAACGATTCGGACGCTAATTAATTAGTTAATTAATTAACGCCGTTCGTTTTTCTTCGATTCCTTGCTTTCATCAACGGAGAAATGCAGCTCCGAATATAACCGAATTGCACTAATTAACTGTTTACGAAGGATTATCTAGCATTATGTAATTGGAGGAAACATTAATTAAAACAGACTATTTACAACGAAAAATTCAATTGTATAAATTTAGAATTTGTTTTTCAAAGTGATTCCTTCGATCCTTTAATATTTATCATTTTGAGCTTCATATCTTTATATATGTTTTTTAATATCACTTACATTTACTATAAACCCAGCATCGTGTAACATGCAAGTCCGATTTTATGAGAACATTATTTCTTCGCTAAATTCTCTGCGTTTGCACACTTTTCCACTATATCTTGGCACTTTCATATATTATATGCATAACATATAAAATCCCATCCGGAATACACGTAATATCATAAAGTTTAATGTGTTTAAATATGTCACTTTTTTTTTAATTCAGTTATATGAACGAAATAATTTGGAATGTAATTACAATCTTAACTTATTAAGCGGTTAGTCGATTTAAACTAATTGGTGACTTAAAGTAGGTGCAATTAAAATTAAACGACAATTTAATATAGAGTAGAGATACAGATAAGCTAGGATCAGATGAAACGCCATTAATTTATATTGGATCAAACGAATGTACTTTGGATTAGCGTAACTTCTATTATATAACTCTTAATTGCCTTTATCGAGTTAGCAATGGATTTCATGGCTGCAAGTAAACGTAGTGATTGCTCGTTAATTGAATTGATTTGTAATTTAAAATATTTGTTAATTGAAATAAAAATAAAATTATTACAGTTTATATAATTTGGCTGTATGTATTATTATGTTACTATTAATGTCTAGTAAGAGTTAATTTTGCCAGTCTACCAAGCATAACCAAAGGGTTCTAATGTTCATTCGTAGAGGCCATATAATATTCTATTATCTTCGTTCCATGTTAACATTAGCTGACACCATTTGTTATTCGAAGATTGAAAAGTCAACAATTTGGTTTGATCTGTAAAGCTCAAGATATTCCTTGCGTTTATGCTCGTTAAAATTTGAGAGGAAAACATGCAGAGGATCGATGAAAGAACATGAACACAGAAAAAAAAAACGAAGAAATGAATTCAAAGAAGAAACGAACAAGGAAAATAACAAACAACTTGAACACACCGAAAACTAAAGCGTTGACAATATGACAAAAGGCGACTTTGATGTCGGATGTCACAAAGCGTCTCTTTGACCCAAGTTAAACACTAATTAAGAGCTCCAAACAACAATGACAAAATAAAAACGCGGAGGCAAAGTTTGAGGAGAGGCCGAAGCCATAATAAATAGAATTATATGATGCCCGATAGATTTTCAAACCCTTCAAGTTCTGTACAAGAAAACCCCGCAGCGCAGATAAGGACAACAAAGGGGAAGTCTCTGAAATTAATGTAACAAGGATAATAAGTATGTGCCCTTTCTTATCTTCGGTAATTATATATATATATAAAGCTGTATTTAAAGGGGGAAGCTTTAACGCTGATAAATAATACTTTTTTGTCATATTGCAAATATTAGTGAAGTTGCTTCGTTGCGTTTCTGTCGTAATCGAATTTTATAATTAATTTCGTTAGTGGATTTTGATACAATTGTTGAAAGCTACGCAACAATCCTAAAGTAAAACGAAGCCAACGTGTACATCAAGTATTTAGTTTGGAATCCACGGTTTGCCTTCCCTTCCACAACGCCATTAAACATTAACGTTCCAATTTCTATTTGACCAGCGAAAATCTGCCAAATTTGTGGGCTAAACTACAAAATGAAATCCCCTTTCCAATCAAACGATATCAACAATTTACACGCGTTTCTTCCAGTTCCATTTAAAAATAAATAACATTGTTATACCTAGGGATTCAAATACAGGAATTCCTCTCATACTGTGGGTAATCGATTCCATCAATTTCCAAATGTACAATAAATAGTTTGATTTTTTAAATATATTTTATTGCCATAAATATGATTATTGTAATTAAAATTATTTTGAGAAGATAATTAATTTGTTTACATCATTTACATAAAACTTTCTCTCTCATTAATGTTTACTCATAAATGTAAATAACCGTAGATTGATTAATCACAATAAAAATGATAATTAAAACATTGTTAAATAAAATCAAAAATAATGTTAGAAAGAAATGCGATATGTTTTGTTGGACATTATACCGCAAAGACTGAAATCGACCAAACGACGAGGATCTATGTTTGCTGAAGTATTTCATTAATATAGAGGAGCCGCCTTTCATAAGTTTCATGCACGGTACCAAAGGAAACCGGATTGGAATTCCAACGATTCCCTTAATAGAAAATTCATAGTCATAAACCAACCAAGTATGGTCGGATGCTCTAATCAATTTGGTTGAATTAACGGAGCGCCCACGGAATATAAGATGATCGACTGCATATTTCCATTCAAAGAGAGAGAAAATTCATAAAATTTGCATTTAAAACTATTTCGATTTACACTTTTAATAATAAAAAATAGATAGTTCTAATTTGATTAAAATTATATATTTTTTTAATGATAAGTTTTGTGCATTTATTACATTACTACTATCATTACTACTATCATTTCTACAGTCAAATAATATTGTGACTCAACTCAGAAAATAACCATTTACATGTAAACGACTACAGTTTTTCATGCAAATTACTTTACTTGTACTTTTACAATTCATTCAACTTTCCTAAAAAAAATGAAGTTAGAGATTTCCAAATCTAGTGAATGCACTTTATATTCTATGTTTATTTCAGCTAGTTTTGGATTTGAAATTGCCGTCTTCATTGTGTAGTGCAATGACCTTGTAAAATAGTACTGTTTCCTTTACAAGAATAAATATTACAACTAAAAATAAATGTATTTTTTTTAATTTAAAAATAAATGAAAAGTATCTCATTTTCATGATAAATTTCATTAAAATAATAAATGCCCGTATAAAAAAGAAAATCATGATACTTTACTTTAAAAAAAAAACACGGGCGAGGGCGTCGAAGATTTGTATAGCCCTTGAGCATTGGGGATTTCAAGCTGAAGTCATATATAGGCCGCCTTATATCGTCCTTATTACCTTACATTAAAAATGTATTACAGGTAAAATATGGTAAGAACCGTTTTTGAGTGTCCCATTTTGTTTTAACAATGAATACGAAAATATATTGGCTATAAAAAAAAACAAAATATTATGCAAGAGCAAAATGAAAGTGTATTCATTTAAATATTAATTTTAAATGAATGTAAAGCAATCTTTTAGTTTGTAAAATAATCTTGCTACCTAAATGTTCAAATATCTACCGTAGTTTAAGGTATAAAGTTTATTTTATTTAATTTAGTAATTAGAAAATAATTAGAATAAAAGAAGGTAAAATTATTGAAGTTCTTTAGATTTTTAAAGAGTTGTCTATTTGATACATGAAGATTTTATTGTTATTGAATTGGAAAGAGTGAAGCATTTGGTCGAGTCGTAAATTGCTGGTGAAACGTTTGGTCTCACTATAATCCGGCATACGACGAACGCAATTCATTTGTAAACATAACTTTTTGGCGTATGAATAAATAATGTGAGTGGGTTTTATTGTTGCAGGGATCCGAATGGCGCGGTTCCAACGAGTCCCGCTGGATCCGAAGCCAAGAAGAGGACGGAGGACGACATCGGAGCGCCTTTCTGGGACACGTACGACACCATCAACCAGCTCTATTTGGAATTGGGTAAAGTATACATTTATATCCAATAACTCCTTTCGAAACTCACGTGTCCTATATTGATGAACCCAATTCCGAAATTTACCGGAGCAGCCAAGAAACTGGATGTGCCTTGAGGGGATTGAAGAAGGCGCGGCGCGCTTGAATATGAAACACATGTATTTGTACATTCATACATACAACTGTCTACTCTCTTTCTCTCTCTGTCATTCTCCATGTGTGTCCAACGTGAGTGTGTCTGTCCCAGCTCTCATTCATATTAATATATTTTCGTCCGCATTGTTTTCCACAAGAATTTCATTCCGGAAATATGCAAATACCCAACGGAAATTTTCCCGAACGCAAATTCTATGCAAATCTTGACACTTTGATGTCCGCTCCTAAAGTACCGAAATTATTGCGTAAGCCGATGATGATCATCTAGTAAAAAAAAACAAATCAAATGCAAATATCAACTAATTGTGCGTAACAAATAAAATTGCGTAATCAATTCCCGTCCAAATTGATGAACCAATCAATTAATTTTAAAATAAAAGAATAAAATGATTAATTTACGTGCAAATTTTAATCGCAGCAGTTCCTAATGAATGTACCTATGAATGCAACAAAGCGCTGTAAAGTTTTGTAAACGCATCCGCAACTAAATCAGCGAAACCGCGAAACTAATTCGCGTTGTTTTTTTTTGTTGTTGTATATATTTTGGTGTTTTGTACTGCGAAAGGGTAACAACACTACATGTTTTTAATTAACTAAATGCGAATTTATGGCGCCGCCGTTCTGGACTTGCGCGAAATTTTGCAAAACAAATAATTTATCCTTTTGCATTAAAATTTATTTGCGAATCAACATCTGCTGATAATTAAACCGAAAGGAGTATATATGCCGCTTGTTTGCCAGGCATTATTCGCCACCGATTTATGATGATGTTCATACTTTAGTGTACGCCAATTGGCTCGTGCTTAATGTCCATGGCTATAGTTCATTAACTAATTTATGGAGTGAATTGAAGATCATTTAACCGAATATTGTTATTTGACAATCTCATTTATAGGTATATTTTTATTTTTTTCATTTCTTTTGTTTATTGCAATATATGTATATAAATGTTTATAAAATTTTGTATTTCTAACAAAAAAAATTGAATAGGTCGAATGCTGCTGCTTCGATCAGGCCCTTTTTGTGCGATTTATGTTTGTATGTATTTAATTCCTCGATTAGTCCGGTTTTAACCAGTCTGGGATTGGCGGAACCGATTACCCGCACTATGCGAGGTATATGTATATTATATATAGAAAGCAAGAAAATGGAAAGTTTACTAAGTTTATATATATTGAGAAGTACTTGCAATTATCATATTAATTGAATTAAGGTTAATGTTAAGTTTCTTGTGATTCAATAATTAATTAAAACATAATTTACAAAATATTAATTACATAAAATTTAAATAAATTGATCAAAGTAAAAGTAAAACTTGTCCAAAAGTTTTATAAAATTGTTATAAATAATTTATGAAATAATATTTGCTTTACACCTTAAGTAATGTGTATTTAGCAGTTTAAACTAAGTAAAGTTTCTTGACAAATATTACTTATTTGTATACAACATTTAAAAAAGTTAAATGTAATGAAAAATTATTATTAACTAAACAAACTGATTTACAGAGTTTTTTTTTTAATTTGAATATACTGAGCTAATTTCCAAATTTAGTTGTGGTCAAAACAATGTAAAATAGCTATATTAAAATATCCTCAAAATAAGTAAAGAATTTTCATAGCATGTTTGGAAATGTTAAAAAGTATTTTTTTATTAAAGCAATGGAACGTGCGGTTATATGAAAAAATATAAAAACGTTATGCGACAGTACAATGTAATGAATATTTGAATGGGACGATGAAACCGTTGTTGAGAAATTCCAGTTTTCAAGTGTATGATATTAAAAGCGACCGCGGATAATATTAATAAAGTTTTAATTAAGGAGGAATTTGTTTGATGAAATAGATTTGAATCCGCGCGATTTTGCGTGATGCTCTCACCAACACGGCCTCCACCATCGCCCATCCGCCCCCGCACATTCGGATAGGCCGTCATGAATCATCGGTGCTGCTGCAGCAGGGGGTGGCCGCGACGGCGGATGAAGCAAGGGGATGTGGGACGGGAGGTGGATGTTCCTGCTTCCAGGACTCCCCCTCCTAATTGATTGCCTACTTGGGGCGAAAAGCAATATATCTCCACGGGTTCTCATTCAACGTGTGGACAAAATCCGCGAGGAATTTTCTTCCGCGAGATTTCCCATTCACGCGACACAATATTTCATCATAGCCGCCTGCGTTTAATTAACATGATTTATGTGAAAAGGCCACACTCGTCGTCATGGCCACCGCCTTCGATGCTTTTTCGCTCTGCGATCTTCGAGGATTTCTACCGTTCTTTTTATCTCTCTTCCTTTTGATTCCAACGATTTAATACTATCTAGATTTCTTCATGAATCAATACTAGTTCATTTAATGTAGACGATCATTAAATAAAATGAAACTGCAACATATAATTTAATAATATTTGTTACTACAATTGTATAAATACAAAAAAAAATGGATAATTGCACGAATCGTTGTATTTATTCCGCCTTATAACGTTTTTTCTTACAATTTATTTTGCACCTCGCACAACGAACGTTTCGCTTAACGAGCAAAATAAATGGTAGGGAAATGGAATACATTATCGTATATTACATTAGTTTATATGGTGAAAATTGTTTCATTATACGAGTAAAAATCCTGAAATTCTGGAACGGATTATGCTTGTTAAACGAGTATATAAAAAATTAAAAAAGGTATTGCTGTATATATTTTTGGTACACAATTTTATAATGCTATTTTTTTTCTGTTTATATTTGTCTATCTTACATTCTACATATTTGTATGTCTACTAAATGAAATATCTTAAAACAGTTGAAATTTATTTTTTTCTTATTTTATCAAGTCAATATTTATACATAAATAACCTTTTTTCTCTTTACATAGTCAAGTTTCTATTTATAGTTTATTATTAAATTTAATAGTTTTGATCATTTAAATAAAAGTTTTGAGCGTTTCTCGTTAGATGGCTTTAGTGAGCCATATCTCACGATGTTTACGTTTCATCTTGTCATTCTATAATGCGAATTAAAGGCAATATAACGCTTTAAAAATGTTCTTTGATAGTTTTGTGTTTAGTGAACCCAGTTGTGTGATAGAGCGTTCCAAAATGGAGGTAAAAAAGATAAAATTCGATACATTCTTCAGTACAACTACGACCAAGTGGAAAAGCGGAACAGGCGGGCAAAAAAATGTGTGTTGTTTATGAACCCAATACAGTATCAAATGCAATAGCAAAACGTTGGTTCTAACGCTTCCGTTCTGGTAATATGGACGTCGAAGATGAGACATGCTCTGGTAGACTAATCGTCGAAAATGTTAATAAAATCATGGAAATCGTCGAGTTGGACCGGCATACGAGCATTTATTCCATAGCCCAGGAACTGAAGATTAGCCATAAAACCGTTTGGTACATTTGCATAAGGCTGATTTCAAGAAGAAGCTCAATGTATGGGACAAAATGCTCAGAACGTTTACCCAATATAACTTTATTCTATATTAATATTTAAGATAAATATTATATGCAAAATATAACTAGAAAATAGATTTGAATTACAAAAGAAACCATTTCTATTAGTAGTTAAATATTTTTAACTGCATTAAAATTCCTTGTATTTATTTATATAATATCGTATTATATTAATAAAGTAAATTTTGCTAATGATCATCATACAAAACAATATTGAAATATTTACTCAATATTATTTAGTCATGTAACAAAACGGTTCGTTACAATTTTTATTTTATTTAAAATATTTAGGTTTGTTCTGTGGAATTTGTTTCATGCTCATATTTTTTTGTTATATCATTTTGCATGTGGTTGCACTTTATTTGCTCGCTTTATTTATACAATAAAATAAATTGATTTGCATAATGAAATGCATAACCGCATTTTTGTTTCTGCATTGTTCCAAGGAAATATACATTTGTAATCCTCACTATTTTATATGTATTGAAACAAAAAAAAATGCAAATATTTATTATTGTGAACGCATGTAAATCGTTACGGAATATTGTACGAACATTGCGCATAATCGTTGAACGACGAGCGGAAATTAATTGAAATAATTTCTACGCATTCAAGGGGTTTCCAGTTTGACCGTTTCCAAGTAATTAAAAGGCTTCTGACTTCGGTTTCCATTAACAGCGATGTTTATGGATAATTTATATGGCTGCTATCATTACATACAATTATTCGGAATGATTTAACCGAGTATAAATGTCAGTTCCTACATTATCACAAAATATTCGCATTACCGCGCAGACACGTAATAACTCTTCAAATTTACTGTATTACACCTAATTGGCCGCAACACAACATGACCAATTCCGCACATAAAACGTACTTTATTTGACCGGAATTTCGCATCTTTTTAGCATTAATATTCATTTAAATTTAATTAAATGCTTAATTATTTTCCTGACTTTGCGTTTACAACCAAATATTTACTTACAATTATTTATTGAATGTATACATATTAACAAAAATTAATAATACCAGTTTGAATAATTGATTACATGTTTTCATTAAACAATTTTAATGTGCAAATATGAATAATTTTATTAATTCAATTTAATTAAATGTTTAATTATTCGTTTAACGTTGCCTTCAATATAAAATATTTGCTTACAGTTATAATTTATTAAATACAATATTTATTAAAATCTTATATAATAATAATTGTACAAGTTATACCATTATACCAATAATTTATTATAATTAGTTTAATATTTCCCAATTGATCTCTATTCATTATTAATGTAGTCATAACTCAATTAACGTTAGGTCTAATAACGAAGCTTTTATATAAGGAATTCTGTAATTTTAAGGAAAATTCTGGCAATAGATTTCGAAAATAACAATTAGAAAAACTTTTTAGCAACGAAGTCTAATAAAATGAACACGAATTTAAAGAAATTCTTGCAAAAAAATGTTAACAACCGTAGATTTAAAAAGATCCTAAAATTACATAACGTTTTATTCTGAGAAAAGGCACAAAAAAGCAGAAACAATCACTCATATTTTAAAATGTGATTTCACTTTGTATTTAAATTGATTGTTCAGTTAATAAAACTTTTCTTAGTTCGAAATAGAAATTTTTACTTTTGAAAACGTTTTGCTTAATGAATTGCATTATATTATTTAATAGAGGTGTGAATGAACTTCTATTTCAATATGCAAAAACGATCTATCAAAATGGTTAATAATTTAAGAATAATAATATTTTGTTTTATTTTATATTATATTTGAAAACATGAACAATTTTCCTACAATCTTTTTTTGTAGTTACACCAAAGAAAAGGAATTCTGGGAAGACGATGATTATATTTTACATATTAATTAAGCGATTTGCATATTACAACATGCACGATTCGAATTTCACTCAAACGTTTCACATTTCCATGATCTTAATTAAAAAGTAAATTACGTTATGGTTACGTTGGACTACCTTCTAAGAACGTTATTCTCCATTTTATTTGCATCTTAATTGTAAAATAGTCAAATTTAAGTATGAAATCTTATAGCACTATGTTATTATTTAAACAGACGGATTTTCTATATGCATTTTATTCATTGGTTTTATAAACTAATAATTTAAGTGTATTTTCGTTTATTACTGGTGTCTAGCTATAAAGAAGCAATAAACATTGAAATAACGATGCTCGAATGTGTAAAGGAAATGTACGTGTTATGTATTGTAATAAAAAAGGTGCAGATTAAACAGCTTCATCTGCGGAATTTTTATTAAAAAGCTATCCCGTCGTTCGTAATGTGTGTATGTGTGGTTGCTTTGTCTGTAGTAAAACAACTTTCTGCCGAAGGATATTTTCCAGGAAAATAATACAGAGTAAGATAAAAATGGAAGGAGAGAAGCACGTGGTGATATGAAGCACTAAACCTTATAATGTGCATTAGGGATTTTAGATAAGTTTCACCGTTGCATTGTTATTTCCAGTGGGAAACAAGAAAACGAAGTTTTACGAAAATATGGGTTTTTTTTATCGATGCTAAATGTTTAATAATTCACATCAAAATAAAAATTCGTTCCAAACTGTCCGGATTTTTACTCGTATAGTGAAAAATATTCAAAATTACACATAATGTGTGTACACAAGTTTTAAAGATGATGTAGCAGGCGCGCAATCCGGGACTACTCTTTTCATCGTCACTCGTTATGCGAAACGTCGCTTGTTAAGCGAGTAATTTTTCTTACAATTTATTTTGATCGTTAAGCGAAATGCTCGTTATGCGAGGTGCTCATTAAGCAAGGTTTCACTGTACTTTGTATATTTTTTATTAGATGACTTGAAAAAATAACGGTTTTAAATAATAATATGAAGAACCCAGACAATCTAATAGATAACCATCCTAACGAACTACTTTATGAACTAATATAATAATACACTCATTTTGAAATGTATTGGTAAATTATTTACAAAGTTTTGCTCCATACTTTCCAGTCTCGATACAGTTTACCGGTATTGCATTTTAAGAGTCGGAGGTCGATCTGAGATCAGATTTCTTGCTCATACTCTTTACGAGCACATATTGGCAACTTGAGAAGTACCATTAAATGTTTGGTGCTTTTTATAATCTTTAATACATTATATTATTTCTCAGACAGAATTATAATTTTTCAGTTGCAAAATATTTGGTGGATGCGCCCGGTACATTTTTTAAAATATTTATTTTATTGTATGTTGAAGCATAAATCTATTCTTAAAATACAAAATAATAATCTTTTGAAATATATTTATTGATATTCTTACAGAAATTATTTTAGAAAAAAACAAAATTTGTTAAATTAAAATTTTAAAATTTGAAATACTGTTAGAAATATAAAATTTTAAAAAAGTCAGAAATTCTGCTTGTAGGTTGTTATTTATTTGAAAAAAAGAATGAAATGAAATAATTAGATTTTATTATTATCTTTACTGTTAAAGGAAAATTAATTACTAAATGATAGATATCTAAGATGTGAAATTAGTTCCAGGATTAATTTTGGGTATAATTAAATTTAGCTTTTGTGGAAAGAGATATATTTGGTGGACGGACAAGAAAGTTCCAGCTGTAGTCATCCCCTTGAAAATAAGATATTAGATCGGAGAGTTCAAGATGGAGAGCGCATGAATGGCGCAGGCAAAATTAGTCTGAAATTGCTTCGGTACTTAATCTAAAATGTATTTTGGGGATGTAGTGTGGGCAGAAAAGGAGCTGAAAAGAAAAAGGATACGAAGATCTGCGCAAAATGTAATAGAAGACATTCGTTATCGTTTATATCGAGTATTTTATGGGGAATTCCTTTAGCATTGAAATGTTTATGCAGATAAAAGTCGGTGCGAGCTAATGTGACACTAACCTACCCTGACAATCTCCGTTGAACGGAACCCGGCCTTGCCATGTGAAAAAAAGGCAATCTATTATCGAGTGGATCAGTTCGAGTGGAAGAAACTGAATCACTTCATTAAACAGAGCCATTTTTTTGCTCCACGTCGAGACAATGATGCGTGGGACCTTGGGCTAATTAGTCTTCAGAAAACAAACTGACAAAACCAAAAACCGATAAGATGAACTACTCGACATTTATTTGAAGGGCAAAAAAATGGTTTATATATAGTAGTTTTATATAAAAGAGAGGATAAATTATAAGTGCCTTACTGCTCTATGTAGGTTGCGCTTAATTGAATCGTCCCAACGCCATTAATCAAGTCACAATAATTAACTAAAAAATATCACACAGAATTTTCGCAATTATTTTCACACATCTCTATTTATATTAATTGAAAATAGTATTTCTGTATGGTCTATATATATTTTAATTGTAAGTTTACAACATTTAAAGTTTAGTTTCAATTTAATTAAATTAGTATGATATTTCTTGAAGAGCTAAATATTTTTGATATGATTGTAGTAAATAATTCAGAATAATCTTAAAATGAATTATATGTATTTGGAGTATATCTTATATAAATAACTTACTCAAAATTTGATTATGTAGAGTTCATAAGTTTGCATAAAGCTGAAGGTTTGTGTAAATTTATGTGAATAAAAATGATTATTATTTTTGGTCGACCTAACATCAAGATTTTATGTTTGCAGGAAATAAAGCGGAAATGAGGAATCATTATAGGGGACATAAAATGTCCCTGTGGCTGAACCTAATACCACAACTTCATAGACCGGGCGAAGGCGACGACATCTCTATGAGGCATCATCACTTCCAAGAAGAAGGCGATCAATACTACGACGGCAAGTCCACTTTCTAATTGAACCATCAAAATCATCCTGAATAATGCATCTTATTCTTTTTGGATTCAGGCTACGTCCGACCGCAAACGATGCAGAGGCCGACCCTGGTCCACGCAATTGTTCCGCAACCTTCGACGACAACTCGGACCGCTCCAGCCACAACAACTCCAACACCTCCGCCACCCAAATCAGACACTGCCCTTCAAGCCACAACAACCGAGTGTCCACCCAACAACACCTACGTTAATCAACATAAAAACAACAATAATAATCTGTTGAGGAAACTAGCGTCCAGCCACTACCAGAGTTACACTACAGCTCTGACGGTCACCGTAGCCGTGGGATGCTTCCTCTTATTGCTGAATATAATTATCTTTGCTGGGATCTACCATCAGAAAGATAGGGGTAAGAAGAAGAAAAGGAAGGAGGAGGCGGAGGCTGGTAGCTGCAGCTCTTCTTCAGCTGATGCTTATGAGAAAGGGATGTACGAAGCTCGGCAGAGCAACTACGATTACGAGTTGTCTCATGGTAACACTTTCGAATGCAAAACCATGCCCAATTTCATAGGGGAGTACAGCTGCGATAAGAGATCAATGGCGGATGTCCAAATGACGCAGCTTCCTTTACAGGAGTTTCAGTCATCGCCACCTTCCGCTATGAAGCGAATGGAATCGAAACCGCCCATCTATCCGGATGTGACCACAACCACGACCAACCAAGACACTCAGACAACCACGAGTCCGAGCATTCCGGACCCTCCGCCACCTCCAAAGAATCAGCCCCCGACCAGCCAAGGTATTCTCAGGCCGCACGGCGTGCCCACAACTCCAGGAACGATGAAGAAGCGCGTCCAGATACAGGAGATATCCGTTTGAGTGAAATCATATCTAATGGAATTGCTCTGTGATTGCTTACATAGGATTTGAATTTATTTATTCCCGGTAAATTAACAAAAGCTCCTAACGCACCACAAGAAACTCGTTTCCAAAGCATCCGAATATCCAGAGATTGGAATGGTCGGAGCCTTGGGAGCATAGCGAATCGACAAATAAAAGTAATATTATATTTTCATTACATTAAACGGAATTGAAAAGTTACGTTTGCAGCAACTTGCCTCTATCCTACATGCACTTTTTTGTTGTTGCAAAAAGCATTCTTTGCGCCGCATCAAAACACGTTCCTTTCGATGCTTTTAGTTAATTTCGTTTTACGCCCACGAAATGATTCATATCCAACCACCGACCAAAGGAAACCAAATACTACTTTCAAAATGGTTTTTACACATGGGACACAATTTATTACTTTAAGTAGTTTCATAAGTCAATTACTTCACGGGAGAACGTTTAAAATATTATAATCAAACTATTATATATATCTTTCTTAATATATTCAAATGAATCTAATATATTTTATAATATTTATCAAGAGATGACGTTTTTAAGAATATTTTATTGTAAACCACTACTGGATTTATACCAATCCAAATAAGTTTGCTTGCAAATAATTTGAATTTACTTTTATATATGTTTTTTAAATAATTTCATTGGAATAACATAACTTCAATATTAGAATTCATTATTAGCTTACAATATAACAATAAAATATATAAGCCAGAATATTGGCAACAAACTAAATAATTTTGATTTTATAAATTATCATGTAATGATGTAAGAGATTGTATTTACATCCATTCGAAGACAATTAAATCAAAAACTATATGCTTCCATTAAAACTTAGCCAAGTGATAATAAAGGAGCGTTTCAATTTAATTGTCAATTTGTGCTTCTATACTATCAACGGACGTGTGTGAAATTGACCTAAGCCTTTCCAACAACAGGCTAAATCAATTGTAAACAATAATATTAGAAGGTCTGTTATTACCATCCGAATTCAGATTTGCTTAAGCGGCGATGAAATATGAATACATTTAATGCGCTTATATAAAAGGTAAACAATTCCAAGTTGTCAGAGGACACATTGTTTGAAAGGAGGAGGGAGAGGTTGGGGTCGTTTCAGCGTTTCGGTGAAATTGAATAATTTTGCGGGGATTTGTGAATTGCATCCGACTTCGCAATTTGAATAGCAGTTACACGGCGTTCTGAGAGGGGCTTATTATCTTCCCTGGGATTTGGCCTAAAGCGCACTAAATTATATTTAACGTAATCAATGGTCGGTCGTTGGATAATGAATGAAAAATATTACGTTTCATCGTAAACAGTTTGAAATTAATACAAATGAATGTAAACACCTGAGTATTGTGAACCAAGACTAATCAAAATGAAACATATGAGTTTGCTAAAAGCATCGCAATCTAATGAAAATGGTCGGTGCAAAGCTGCAAAACCTAGTTCCAATTATTTTAATGGCGTCGTGCAAATTGTCTGAATTAGTTATAAGCTAGTTGGATATGTTACTGCTCTAATCCAATTGATCGATTGTGTTGACTAGTAAATATTTTATGAAACGTTAATTTATTTAGGAATTGAGTTGGGCTTGCGACAGCGAAAAAAAGATGGATTTTAATTTGCAAATAACTATGGAAGTAAGTGTGGAGATAGATTACTCGACGCGCTGTGCCTAAAGTTTGGACAATCATTTCCTGTCTCGTTCTCCTCTCATTGTCTGGGCTTCAACAATGGCACAGCTAATTTTATCCTAAATGTGTGCATACTTTTGCGCGAGTGTTGTGTAAATGTGCGATTTTTTAATACTGCCGAATACGTAAAATATTCACTGAAAAAAAAATCGATAAGGAGTCTAAAAGAAACAGAAAACTAATGATTTTAATTAGAGTAATTAAAATAATGTATATAGATAATTAATCTTGCCTCGTATGCGGAGATTTTTAGTAAGAATTGATCGCATGTTTACGGACGTCTACTTAAAACCAAAGGAATATAAAAGAAACCAAAAAATTTATATATATATTAAGGAGATGGACAAATCGTCTCAAGGACTAAACGTAATATTAATTAAAAAAAATGAAAAAAGACAACAATTTAAGGGAATAAAAATATTAAACATAAACAATTTATTTAAGAAACATTTTATATCATTAAAGGATACGCTATTTGATTGTATAAAGAAAACCATAACAAAATATGGAGAAAAAAATCTGAAATTGTATGGATTAAATAAAAATAAAAACACACACACAAAAATTATAAATAAAACGAAAATACATCCTTTATCGATGTTTCAGGATAAAAAAATATGATTAAATAAATAATTGAAAATCGAAAATGGATATTGTTTCGAATAAATAACACGTTAATATATTTGTTCGCATTTCATTGCAAATTTCGTTGCACCTCCCATCCAATTAATATACCCGAAACCCGATAATGCTAAGGAAATGGAATATTAAATAAAACCGAGTTCCGGGTAAAAATTTATTGCTCTGCATAAATCCCGAGCATCGCACCGTACAGAACCGATGATGATGAATTCCATTTTACATCCGCGGAAATCAAATAAATTAAGCTCAATCACGCCGCAATCTAAAGCAATTTTACTTTGAATTTTAAAATTGCAATTCCTGCATTTAAGGTAAGTCAATAACGTGTTTTTTTTACAAAATATAATAACCCTCGTCATGTCCGATCCTTGATAATCGTCCACTTACATAATCATTTCTGTAATTGTTTTGTTTGTATAACATGCATATATTTAGTTAGCTTCATTTTCAACTTTTATTTAATTATCCGACGGATAATAATTATAGAAATATCGAAGATGAAAATTACCTTGAATTGCATAATATCAAATACAGCAATACCTCAAATACTAATGGGTAAATTCTGGCAATATCCCGAATTATAGAAACCGGACTAATCGATATCTTAAAAATCAACTGCACGAAAATAGTTTTAACTTATAAAGTACATAAATCACAATCATTTATTAATAAAAAAAAGTTGACTACAAATTTTTATAATTTATTTTTATTTTGTTTAATTAAAATTTAGATTATTTTGAAATTTTTAAATTGGACTGTAGTGAAGCTTTGATCAATCCGCACTATGCGAGGTATTGATGTATATTTAACCCTTTGTTACCTGAACATAGTTAAAAGAAAAAAATATATTTTTTCTTTGGATTTCTTTTAAAACACAAATATATTTTCAATTAACAAAATATGTGGTATAAAAACCAAAAAAATTTTGTTGATTTAGATTATAAAAATGGATCAATTTTACTAAATATAACAATATTATTTTATAAATATATTTCATGGTATTCTGCTATACAATTTTTCTTTTCGTTACAACATAGAAAAATAACCTATACTAAAGTGTCAATTATTACTTGAATGTAGGTTTATACTCAGTTGGTGTTTCCAATTGCAAAACAAGTATTTTGGTCTGATTCGTGTCTTTTTCTAATTTAAATAGCGACATAAATGTGCCGGTACTTATAAGTACCGTCAGATAACAAAGGGTTAAAGCAGGCATGCACATCTTCATTTAGTATGTATTTATTAGTTACATTTTTAATTTTTAGTAAATTATCCCACGTTTAATGTAATTTTCATAGTATTAGATAAATATTGTATAGATTAATTTATTTAGTAGTTACTATATCATATTATCTCTGACTAATTATGTATTAACTATAATCCATTTTAATCGATCGATTTTTATAATATTATAATTAACTAGCAATCAATTAAATCAAATTGTTCTCTTGCGTATCATAAAAATGCATGCATCTGGGTTTATAAATAAAATTAAATGATTTTCTTTATAATTACTTCCTGCTCTACAATATTGATGACATGAGGCAATCTTTGTAGGTTTTAATAGTTCCATTTACGGTTCTGAATACCAGAGTATATTTAGATTTCAAACGTAATTGAATCATTAAAATTATCCACTTTAGTTAACTTGAATTTATTGCATTCTCGTTTATACACTTTTTAGAGGTATAACAGTATTATCTTTTTCATTTGACTTGAGAAAGGAACAATTTAAACTTAATTGTACACAACTTTCTGAAATGGTTTTTCAATTATTTTTTATATAATTCATTTTGGTTCAATAGTTTCGATATAATTTTAAACTTTATTTGTAGGAAATAAGTAGGAATTGTGTTGAATTATATTTTTCGAATTAATATAGTTAATTAATATTTTTTCAACAGAAATCTTATATCTACCTGGAACTGAAGTCTTTTTGCACGAAAAATCTTATACTAATAAATTTTATGATTATTTGTACAATTGATTCAGATAAGGTTAGTATCAATGAAACATGGCTAGAGGAAGACCTCGTTTAGCACTTACTCATATAACTTATAACGCGGTCTATTCAAAGCCTATAGGATCTCTAAATTTAACTTATTGTAACTTTGTTTAATATTGTTTCGTTAAGAAACGCATTTTAAGCCTAGTAGATTAATTTAATCAGTAAATACATGGAAGTTAATATGAGTCATATTTTTTGAATCCTATTTTTCAAATTCTATTGTAATCGTGCAAAGTGTTGGTTCTCAAATTATTTAATTTTTTTATCAAATAAATATGAATCAATAAATGTATCTACGATCATAAAAGCATTTTCTATTTAAAATTGTATCAAGAAAACTAACGTAATTTAATAGTACCTGTACCATTTAAACGATGATGTAATTATTGAAAAAATGGTTAAGTATTTAATTGTTTGTTATTTAGTACATGTAAAACCGTGTCTTTTACATGTACTAAGTAAGTAATCTATGCAGCATTACTATTAATAACGTAGAATGATGGAAATATTCTAAATTTTATTTATGTTAGTAAATAAATAAATTAAATCGGTCTGTCTGATAAAATTCCAGTCAAGATAATTTAAGGTAATTATCAAAATAACTTGTGCTCGTCACTCTAGCCATAACAAAAACAATTAATTATAATGTAATTTGCAGATAACGCGCAAAAAAAAATCGATAACCGATCGATCGATAACCGTTAAAAAAATGGGCTTTGATTACATGGAGTTCCGATCTCTATCGACGATTGAGTTATCGACGAATCTACATTATACCGGTTTCATTACATTTACAGGTTAATCTTAAAATAAATCAACATTGTAAATATATATCATTGTATTATATATTTTCTTAATTAAGTTAAATACATAATTTATTAATTTTTTAATTATTAAAATTTTAATAAGAAAAGGAGAAAATAAACATTTTGAAATAAAATTAATTTATTTTATTCATCTTTTTTTTATATTATTTTAAATAAATAACTAACGTTTTTAATAACATAAAAATAATTATTATATTTTCAAAATTATCCATTAGTAATGTGTTTTTATTTTCATATAGTTTTCTTAACGTATTCATTAGAT